ACCTCACACATGAAATATTGAAGCGGCCCTGATCTCATCAGCTATTTTTATCCAGCCGAAGCTCCGATGCCTTTAAACAGAGAGAGAGAGAGAGAGAATACGATATGCTGCGCTGCATAATCAAACACCAGCGTTAACTTCTACAGCTTCTGCTACACAAACACACACATCTTATATATGATCATATATAGGACAGATGGCTCATGAAGAAATGATCATATATAAGACCAGAGACTGATGGAGATATAATCATATATAAGACCAGAGACTGATGGAGATATAATCATATATAAGACCAGAGACTGACTCAGATATGATCATATATAAGACCAGAGACTGACTGAGATATGATCATATATAAGACCAGAGACTAATGGAGATATGACCATATATAAGACCAAAGACTGACTGAGATATGATCATATATAAGACCAGAGACTGATGGAGATATAATCATATATAAGACCAGAGACTGGAGATATAATCATGTATAAGACCAGAGACTGACTGAGATATGATCATATATAAGACCAGAGACTGACGGAGATATGATCATATATAAGACCAGAGACTGATGGAGATATGATCATATAGAAGACCAGAGACTGACGGTGATATGATCATATATAAGACCAGAGACTGATGGAGATATAATCATATAGAAGACCAGAGACGTATAGAGATATGATCATATATAAGACCAGAGACTGACGGAGATATGATCATATATAGGACCAGAGACGTATAGAGATATAATCATTTATAAGACCAGATACTGACTGAGATATGATCATATATAAGACCAAAAACTGATGGAGATATGATCATATATATGACCAGAGACTGACGATGATATGATCATATATAAGACCAGAGATTGATGAAGTTATGATTATAAATAAGCCTGAAGACATACTCTTATATAAGACCTGAGACTCTCTCATATATCAGCCAATTATCAGACTTACATATGATTATATCATCTCTCAAAAACCCTGAGATGCATTATGACAGCACTATAGGTGTGGTCTCTCTCTTCTCCATATGCACCAGACACTTTCTTATAAGCACCCCATGCTTCTTGAAAGACGCTGCACAGTCACTCGTAAGTGTCTTTGGATTAAAGCATCAGCTAACTGAATAAATATACCATGGTGGATGTTTTCAGACTGATCCAGCAGCAGCAGCAGACGGATGAGTGTGGAAGTGGGTCATCGCGGGTGAATCCGTCTCTCTGTTTCTGGGTTATTCTCCTTTATTCTGCTGGTCCCGCAGGAGCACTTAGGCTGGACAGGGAATGTCTGATAGCGTCTTTACAGCTTCATATCCGCCTCTGTTTGATAATCACCTGAGCTGTGCACGTGAGCCGCCGCCGGTCGCCGCCCGTTGGGTTATTTTTATCCGCAGAGATGAGCGGCTTCATTAGAGCTCGGCTGACGGAGAAGCACACGCTCATTAGATGTTCCTCTCGAAGTGGGCCAGCGCTCCATCCCAGCACACACACACACACACCGGTCTGAGGCGTCCGTCAGCTCGCGAACACCACTGCGCTCATTATCCAGCATATGATGGTTAATTAGTCAAAGCAGCCGCATATCAGCCTGACGTATTATTGTGTTGTGTCAGATGAGCAATGCTGCAGGTATCTGCACATTCACACACTGTTATGAGTGAATGACTGCATTTATATTTTGATCATTATCAAATGTTTCCAGCATCTCTGATCTGGCGTGTGAATGACGCAGAGTAACGCGTGTGTTTGACTGACAGGTTTGCTCTTATAAACGAACAATGAACTTTTCCTGCCATCTCCATCTCGTAAATGCCATCGACCCACAATGACAGCTGACTGTCATGTGACCCGTGCAACATCATGTGACTGATGTGTGTTTGATTGACAGCTTATCTTTGATCATGTGACCCACAGGTGTTTGACAGCTTAACTTCAATCATGTGACCCTCATGTGTTCTTAATTGACAGCTCAACTTTGATCAGGTGACCCCCATGTGTTTGATTGACACCTCAACTCTGATCATGTGACCTGCATGTGTTTGATTGACAGCTCAACTTTGATCAGGTGAACCCCATGTGTTTGACTGACAGCTCAACTCTGATCATGTGACCTGCATGTGTTTGATTGACAGCTCAACTTTGATCAGGTGACCCCCATGTGTTTGACTGACAGCTCAACTCTGATCATGTGACCTGCATGTGTTTGATCGACAGCTCAGATTTGATCATGTGACCTGCATGTGTTTGATTAACAGCTCAACTTCAATCATGTGACCTCTGTATGTTTTTACATTTTAAATCTAATCGTGGTCCACATGTGTTCCATTAAAAGCTCAACTTTGATCAGGTGACTCACATGTGCTTGATTGACAGCTCAATTTGATCATGTGACCTGCATGTGTGTGATTGACAGCTCAATTTGATCATGTGACCTGCATGTGTGTGATTGACAGCTCAGATTTGATCATGTGACCGGCATGTGTTTGA